GTAGGGAAAAATTTTCAAACTGCAGAAAGTTTTATAGTACAGGAAACACTTTCCTAGTCAAACCTCATATGCATTCTGTAACTGGTTTAACAGCTGTGTAACTTTGGGACAACACAGGCATTATATAAAAGAAAGCTGCTCAATAACTAAAAAACATCCTTAAAGGAATTAGAAAGGATTTTCTCCCTTAGCTGCAGCATGCTCTGACAAGTAATATGCCATGTACCTATTATGTATATATAGCAAATTCATTTAAGAATAATAAAAAACCTTAAAAAACAATTGACAGATGCTAATTTAAGGAGTTACTGTTCACACTAGTATGCTGATAGAATAGTGTGACAAAACGGTCAGTACGGGCTGTCTTATTTCTAGCTCCCCTTGAATTTAATGCTAGCATGACACAATCTGCATTATGTCATCAAGATGTAGCCAGTAGGTGCCCATACTAAAAAGGACCTCTAGGAGGCAAGATTTACTAGAAGGCACAGTTCTGTTTTAATACAGTAAAACACTTTACAGACTATATTTGGTTTACAACGTGCAGGATTTAGAGCACCAGCTGAGAAAGTGGACAATTGACTGTGTAAACTCGAAGACAATGTTATTGGTAATAAAACTGTTAGATGTAGCAATGTTTCTAACTTGTACAGTTTTACAGTAATGATGCAATAGCATGATTTATGATATTTAATGTTTTCCTGAATTCCATCCCATGAAGTTACACAGTTATTTGAGAATATAATGGAATTTCATCCTGAGATTCACACAGGGTCATTAAAACTGTTGTATCTCCCCTTCTCTGGCACAGCGGAGTATGGATAAGTTTATTAGTTAGAAGTAAATTAATGTATTCTATGTAACCATTTTTGTAGAGAGTACATAATGCCGAGTAGTGACTGAGTTTGGTGGGCTATTGTTTTCCATGTTTTAAATCGTCTAGTTTGTGTTTCTTTTCTTCTTCTGATCAGTTTCTTGACCCTAGACAGATACCTTCTTGCATTAGCATTAAAATATTTGCTTTTAAGAAAAGCAGCCAACTTTACATATAGCAGAACTTTTTTGGAAGCAGTGATATATTTCTTCATACTTTTATACAACTGGGTAAAAGTAGATTTTCAGTTGCTTCCCAAATTTATTATTTTAATTAACAAAATAAAATTCCAATACTATGACACTGTTTGCATGTAAATCCCTAGGAAGGTTTTTATTCAGATGAAAAATTGTTGGTCTGTAGCCTCAGCCAACAGAGCAATTTACAATGTATAGCAGCTGGGAATTTCCTACCCTGCTCTCTCTGTGTAGCAAATGATTTGTTCAGCATAGGACATCTCCTCTGTGCATTCTAAATTACCCAGCAGACTGCCTGACTTTTAATATACACTTATCTTATTCGAATCAGAGCTCTGATTCTGCTTTTCCAACATAAATATACTTTTTGTGCTTTGTGCAAACATTTGCTGAAAATATGAAACACCGTCTCTTGATAGTAAATAAGATATGGGAAGATGGTGCCATGCAGTAATCTAACATAGTACATCCAATGAGTGTAAAATATTTCACAATTATTTTCCCTGTGTAGAGACAAGATATGTGCAGATGCAGTAGCTTCCCCAGAACCTTGGTATTGCCCGTGTCCTCACAGAGTTACTTAGAAATCTGTGCAGCTTGCCTCTTACTTTCATATATTAACTAATATAGGATCTCCTTACAAATATAGCAAGGTCGTGATACTGGGTCACTGCTTTGAAGCCATTTTCTCCCTACTTCTTTATAACAGATTTTTACCTTTATTGCATCCTATCTGCAAATCACTAGAATTTTTAAATTAAATGTATGTGTAAATAAGCATTAGAACCAAAAAACAGCATTTGCCCTTTATTTCTGCTTATCTACAAATTACTGACAAGGATTTATAATTGAATTATAACCCTAACTGTCATACAGGTCAATGCCATCTGTGTTAGTGACTCACAGATTTAGATCATAAACGTACATTTCCACAGGGTGTGGAATATAGGTGGGCTGAACAGCTTGGGCTGCTTTATAAACAAGAGCCTTGGGCCATCTGCACTTACCCATTCTTTGTCCCAGCAGCTCTTCTGCTCTACCAGCCATATCACCAGGGCAAAATGGCATTCACAGGCAAATATGAAGTAGAAAGTGATGAGAACTACGATGACTTCATGAGGAAGATTGGTAAGTATATCCTGGAGAGTAAGTCTTAACTGTTATACATTAGTTTAAAATACTGAAAAAGAAAAGGGGGAGGCCTTTTTCCTGAAGTGTGCTGGGATCAGCAGAAGCTGAGACTGGTAAGATTGTTCTGCAGAACACTCTTACTTCAGCAAGGAGAGGAGCTTACTTCAGCTCCTTATTATGAGGAGCGCTGTCAGCCACAGGGTCCTGATGGTCCTGTTCTGCAGAAATAGTATTCCTTTTCAGTGGCAGCAGAATGAAGTGTTAAGATATTTGCAGTATAATGATTGTGAAGATCACTTTTTCTGTCCTCAGTATTCATCAGTGAAAGTATAAATTTGAATATGAAAATAGTTGCCACTATTTTACACAAGAAGAGATTTTTTGTGAGCGCTTTCAGAAGACTGACTCTGTAAGCCTATTACAGAGATTACCCTTGTAAAGTCTCTATGGAAAACGAGGATCTGTGGCCATAACTTTGGTGCTTGCATTCATTTATTTAAACAGTAATTGCAAATATTGAATAGGTAGTTGTAGCTCTGTAGCACAGGCACAAGTTCATACACAGGAGTGTTCACGAATCTGCCTATGCAGACTGACTAAGCAGAAGTAAACATTTATCTTTTATATATCTTATACTTCTATATATATTCTGTATGTAGTTTCTAAGGGAAAAGGAAGCAAGAACAAAACCTGTTATATTAGCAAATATATTAACATCCCTATATCTTCCTGTATACCAGCATTTTAACCTCTGATCTTTGATAGTGCTGTAAAAAAAGCCAAAGCCAAAAACAAAAAAAATCAGTTTTGGAGAAACATATACCACTAGTATGCTTCAATTCAAATATAGTTAGTAGGATATTAGATTTGATAAACTGCATGGTTTTATTGATTCAGGTATCCCCAGTGACGTCATAGAAAAGGGAAGGAATTTCAAAATAATCTCCGAGGTGGTACAGAATGGAAATGAATTCACCTGGTCACAGCATTATCCAGGAGGCCACTCCATGACCAACAAATTCACAACTGGCCAGGAAGCAGACCTGGAGACAATGAGTGGTAAAAAGTTCAAGGTAAATTAATTTAGCTCTAGTTCTATACTGTCTGAGTTGTTATTTCTTAATATGGGGTAAAAAAAGTCAAGGGCCTTAGGGATTTTTTTCCTTACCTTGTGTTTTTGTCTGTTTGCTATAGCTTTTCCTGTTTGTCATAGCTTAGAAATGTATATATATATTTTTTTCCTAAATGGCCCTAGCAAAATATCTAAATCTGATTTTAGAGAGCTAGATCTTCAGAACTGTATGTAGTAATAAAGAATGAGGGTAGTGACAAGCATTTACTGGTTCATGGCTCAGGCAAACATAATGCTCATTACAATTCCAAATAACTGATTGACAGCTGTCCTCTTTGTCCAGCACCATACCGTGAGTGGAGCATGCCAGTGCCTGATGGCAGCGCTCACCTTTAAGTCACCTGTGTCTGAGCCTTAAGCAAAGGACTGTGGAAAGTGAAGAGAAAAAATGTCTCTCTATCCTTCCTCTTGGAAACATGGAGCAATTTGCAACTTAAGGAGCCTCTAGTTACGATGAAGCTTACATAATGTTTTCATACTTAGGGTAATGAAACAGAAGATCTTGATTTATTCCTGTCATGACCAAAAACTGCTTCTAGGACCTGCAGCATAAAGGTTGCTCTACTAGGATAAATCTACTTAAAGGGATCAGACAGTTTGGAAAGCTAAACTCAGCATGTGTGAGGTGTCTAGAACCCTACAACAGATCAGTGGATAGATGCTTTATACATATTGAAGAGACAGGAGAGCTAGCAATTGCAATAGGAACTGTGGCAAACAGACACAATTGCATTTCGTGATGCCCAGGGTGCTCTTTTAGTTACACCTTTCTACTAAGAGAAGAAAAAAAAAGAGATGCATGTCTTTGGCTTTGAGAAATCTTTGTGAAACTTAACATATGGAACGAGATCTGTATCAACTACTGTATCAACTTATTGCAAACTTTACATTTTTAAAACGTTTCAAATTCCATCCTCTTCTTTGTGCCCCTGGGCACTTCAGCAGTCTGAAGCATATTACATAGCCAAAGATGGAGGCAGAGTAAATGAGCCTTAACAGAGAAACCACTGTCTTTTAGTACAGTGCCACTGCACAGTACATAAATTAGTAAGGTGTTTTCCTTATATCTGGTAAAAATGTCCACTCATCTATTCATTTTGTAAAGTTTTTTCTTAATATGACTGGCTAACCTCTATGACTGAAAGCACAGGCAGGACTGATTTTGTGATCAAACTGTGCAGCTTATTTTGGCTATCAGATGAACTGCTATACTACCTGTGAACTTCACATATTAGCATCCTGGCATACTCCTTCCGTACAAAAGTAGGTCTTACAGCAACTGGCACATATTATGATATAAAGATGTGACTGCAGGCTGCAGTCGTGTTTATCTATATTTGAATGTGCTAGGTGAACCCACGTGTAATTATAGGTATGAAAGTAAGGATCTAGGCTAAAGATTTGTGTTACTAGTCCACAGTGACTTCTGTGCTGCTGCAGGCATGTTGCCAAAAATTAACTCATAAAATTACACCTTTTACTTCGCTGTCAAAACAAAAGAACCACGTAAACCCTTGAGAACTGCACATGAGAAGCATAGTCTGTAGCCAGATCATTTTGGGGTTTATGAATAAAGATTGTTTGTGATTTATTGTGTAAATATGAAACTTGCATGTATTGTTAGTTCCAATATTTTTCTATTTAAATTGTGAAAGTTTATATTTAGGAACTGAAGCACAAGGATTTTTAGTTGTCTTCATGAAGCTGTATCTGTAATACACAAATTTGATAAATTTTAAAGTAAGAACTTTAAACATCAGATGTTTACAGTGCATCTGAGAATATAAATACCAGTAAGTCCGGAGAACATTAAACCTGTTTTTATTACAGGCCAGAGAACACTAAACCTTTCTCTATTACAGGCAACTGTTAAACTGGAAGATGGCAAAATAGTAGCAGATTTCCCCAACTATCATCATACTGCAGAGATTTCTGGAGGAAAGCTGGTAGAGGTAAGTTCTCAAATACCCAGAGTACTTGAAAGAGTCAAGATCAACAGCCCTGAACTTTGAGCATATACCTTTAGAAAAAACAAAGCAAGACTGTTAACTAACTTCAGTCTAGATAATACTGTAAAATTTTGGCTGAGTTTAATCCAAGTGAACAAACTTTTAATCATGTATTTGTAATGGCTTTGTAAACGCACAAAGTGCCCAGGGACACACAGTTTTACAGCTATAAGAGACTGGAGTGTCTAGTCTGAAATATTCCCAGATAGCTGTATCTTTGACTGCATGAATTATGCATATGCCTCAGGAATAGAAAAAAATATATAAAACTTTTAACTTGCTACATAGCAAGTACTTTTTATAAGACTTCATGAACTTTGTTTCATATCTGGAAAACTACCTTGCTAATTCCTAACTGAATGTTTGTAATTTCTGTAGACCCCTATTGATTTCCTCAGTCTTACCAAAGGAAAGAATAAATTCAGAAGAGGTTGGATTTCACATAGGATCCTATTTTATAAACAATAAGCTAATATGGAATTGGAAGATTACCAAAACTACAACAATACTTACTAAAACTTGCAAGAGACGGAGTTCTGATACATGCTGACTTCCAGTTATCTTCCTGAATAGTGATGGATGTGTGTGTTAGTGACATATGTCTGACTGTGTCTTCAGCAGAGACTACCCAGAAATAAACTACTCCGTGAATCAAGAAAGGATTCTCACCATCACTGAAAGTGATACTGTCAATCATTTGATTGATCTTCAAAAACAGTATCTCCCTAGTCTTAAAAAGAAGCATACACAATAGTAATATCTTGGAGTTGGTGAGAGCCAAATCCAACACAGAATACATTTAGGTTATCCCTAAATCCCTGTTTAGAAATTGTGCTTCTTTGTCATGTAAGAATAGTCTTGCACAATATATTTCAGAGTAGATCAGGACACTTAAAGGGTAAATTTTGCTCCACTAAAGGGTAGGCTCTGTGAGCTAGCCACCACGTCCTTTCATTTATGACACTGAAGCTCCAACTCTGTTCGACCAAATTTTTGGTTTGTTCTTTGTTCCAGATTTCAACTGCTGGTGATGTAACCTACAAAAGAATCAGCAAAAGGATTGCTTAAGGCAGTAAAACCAGTCGTCCAGTGCACTGAGGAATAAGCCACAATGCAAATTAATAAAATGTGGTTCTGAGCTCTCTCTTTGCATTACAAACATGAAGATTTTTTTTTCAGAATAATATTATTCCCAACATTGGTACTTACTCAATTCCTATAGATCTGATAAAAAAGCCTAATAAAAATCACAAGGTACAAAGAGCATTTTATGATGTTGCTTTAGTCTAAATATTTCAGGATATAATTCGTACTTGGCATACTCGGATATTGTCTACCAACTACTTTAATAGGTCTCTTCAGCCTTGCCCTAGAGAATAGGGCAACACTCTGCCCAAGGCATACGTCAGAATGTACGACCTAAAGAAAGTCTTTCACCTCATTGCTGGCTGCACGGCAGAAATTCCAAAGCTTTAAAACAAATAAAGTTGGTTAACCAATCATTAAAACATGCTTTTATCAGTTCCAAAGCACTGATTTTCTCAGAGTACCGCTATCATGGTTGCCTTGTTCTCATCAGTATATTCTCTTGACCTAAGTACTTGGGGGACATTTAAGGTTTTGCAGACTGATTCTTGGGGGAGAAGTTGGAGTCCGTTTTTTTTTTTTTTTAATGTAATCTTCCTTATTTACAAAGAACACCTATGAAAACCTATTTTTCTTGAACATAACAAGAATTAAATAGACACGCTTTTTGAGTTCACTGTTCCAGATCATTTCTAGCCAGTATCTGGTCCACAAAGCTTTCCGTTTTCAGAGTCCCACTGTAAAGTGCTTTTTGAAGCTGCCTTCTGAATACTTGATCTAGCTAATCATAAACACCTTTTGCTAATCAGTGACTACCACAGGGCATGTGCCTTGTGTACACAAAAGTTTTCTGATATAGGCCATGTACATGACTCATAATCCCATTCATTCTGGGTATCTTAGTTTAAAAAAAAAAAGCTCCTAACTGCTTTTTAATGTTTTTTTCTGAACAAAGACAAGGTTTCATACAGGTGCCATCAGTCACCGGTTTGAAAGAACACGCTGCACACAGTTTCTGACCAGGCGTTACTCAATGTTTTATTTTGATTCCAAGTACTCTGTTAGAAAGCATGGTGGTGAACCCTAAATTGGGAAGGGATGAGTCAAATCTGAAACCTCTTCAATCTTAGAACATTCTTTTGGTAAATACAACAACTTGATCTTCTAATATAGCAAAATTTTTTTTGAAATTAAACCTCTTCAGTCATATTGGTGAACAGCATAAGCACTACTAGTTTTTTTCTTGGTCCTCTCTCAACAAGAGCACTTTCTTTGGGTTCTGCTTTCCCTTTTGAAAGCAACACTGAGAAAAACTGTCAAAATAAATCACCATCACAACATCCTAGGGCTGCAAAGTCAGCCCTTTAGCCTGGGTCCTCTGGAGCACACACTGAGACATTCTGCCAGCTGCACAAACTTTTGCTTAATTTCACAGATAGCTGTCTGGAAACGTAAAACAATGCTGTAAACCCCAGTGGAAAGTCATTTGGCACGCCATGAATAATGATTTCAGTTTTTTTTTATGTATTTCAAAGTCAACTAAATCTCTGCTATCAGAGGAAAATAGAAAAGTTATCATCAGAACCACAAAATAAAGACCCTGTTTTGACGTTACTGAAGTTTGTGCAGGGAAGGGAACATTCAGTGACACTGAATGACTGGAATGTGATCATAGGATATTTTGGGTAAAATATGGAACTTAGGATTGCAAGAAGTATATTAAATTTAGGGACATGCACAAAAATGTATTTGCTAAGTGGAACAAGCTGTGGAAGAGGTGAGAAACGTCTTACTACATCAGACATCTCAATGGAAGTTGGATTGAGAGCGTCAGATTGCTCTTATACTCATTGGTAAGTCAGTATGTTTTCTTCAGAGTAAAATTAATCTCAATGACTGTAGGTAAATAGACTTTTGCTGTCATTTAATGGTTACAGCTATATAGACTTCTATGACGATTAGTGGGGGAAAGGCAAGCTTGTTATCAAAAGAACTTTTAAACCCAAAGAACTTTGATTATGGAAAAAATAGTTGGCCAAATTTTTGAACAATAAAAGCAATGTATCAGACTACTCACGCTGGCCCTAAACAAACCGTGCTAAGAAACAACATCAACAGGGATATAGCTTTAAAAAGTGGGGGAGAAAGGTAGTTTTCTCTGCACACTCAATTAACAGGTCACAGCTAGCTGACTAGAGAGATAACCCCTGTTCATTCTCACTGTATTAATCATGACTTTCATCCTCTTTTAATTTTTCATTAGTCTTCTTAAAGATTGGGCTATTTGGTCTAAGTAAGTCAAACATACCCACAATCTGCTCCGAAGGAGAAGATGCAGATACCAGGTCATCCACTGCTTCGAAAACAAAATACAAGCAGCTAAATGACATTAATTCCAGTTCTAAAAGTGATTACATTCAGTGTTGTGTAACTAACTAACTGGCACATTTTTCATGTTCTGCATCCGATGAAATGGCTATTGCCATTAGACAGACACCAAAACCTTGAAAGGAAGAGTGGGATTTTAATCTAGACTCGCTAGAAAATTTTATACTTTGCTACAAATCCAATTATACAACTTTCAAATTCAAAAATAGGAAAGGGACATATTAGCATGAAAGTCCTTTTATTGCCCCCAAACTTTCACTACTGAAAGCATAGGCAATTATGATGTTCTACTTTCCAGCAAAGCTATAAAAAAGAGAACACTTAAAACATGACCTGTAACCTCTTGCAGGAAATACGTTTGTGCACAGACTGCTATGCTGGTCTGGTAGCTTGCAATCCGCACATTCTGTTACCAAGCAGTGACAGCAGGCAACATGAAAGTTTACAAGTTCAGTGCTCTTGCTTTCATGGTTGCATCTAGACAGCTACTAAATGCAATAATCAATCCAGCAAAACCTATGTGCATTTCATGCTGCATGCCAATTTCCTCTATTCCCAAACTAACTATTGCATATGACTACAGGTCTGCCGCTGCTCTGAAAGAGCAAACGAAAGCTATGTGTTGCTGTGGGAGCTTGATGCTTACTATCCAGACAGCCTAAGTGACCTTGATCCATGATACTCCTCTTTAGGAGTATCATCTACTACTACAATCTACTATTTATTTTGCCTTTCAAAGGGTGACCCTTTGTTGTCTGTTTTGGCCAGTGAATAAGGCAAATGTAAGTTTTTTCACTGAGGATGGCAAGTTCAGTTCCTAAATTCTGGGTAATGACAGAAGCACCAGAGACTACAAAGTCCTCTTATAGGTTTTTGGACCATTCAGGAACACGGGTAATAACGTACAGGAAGAAGGAGGGAAGGAATCTGAATCCATACTAGTTTGCCACCAATCTGGCCTGCCTACTGGAAGTTATGTGATGTGTTGAGCAAGGGTAAGTAACAGCTGTTGTCTAAACAGCATAATATATGCCACCAAAAATGCTAAATTAACTATGTTATTTAACTTTGCGTGGTTCGTTGGCCAAGTTCACTTTCTGATCCACAAGCAGTGGTATCAGCACAGGAAAAGGAACAACTTAGAAAGGAAGTATGGTTGAGCCAGCACTGCTGCCAAAGAAAGTTTGTATTGTAATTTCACATGTTTTCACAGCCATCCGAAGAACAGCATAACTGCCCAACTCAAAGAGTACAAAGATAAAGTGCACAGCACAAAAGAAAATTCTAATTTGAGGAGCAAATGTTGTTTTTTCAGTCCTCCTAGTACATTTAAAACATTTGGTAGCCTCACAGAGCAGGCTTACAAGAACAAGCACAAACTACTTCCCACTCCATTGGTCTGTGGGTATTTGTTGGTTGGATTTTAGCCGGGGGGGAACGGGGAGGAGAAGGGGAAAGTGAGAGCAAATACGCTTTCACATGGGGGGAAAAATAAATAAATAAATATATATATATATATTAGTACTTGTGCAGTTGAGGACATGTTTAAGGCTTATTTTGAAATGACAGCACAGAAAGCAAAATAAACAGCTGTGTGTGGGTGGGGGGGTGTCAAATCATCAGTAAGAATCCATCAGTGTTCGGGAGACATTTGCTAGTATCTAGAGACACTTCTCAGCAAGAACACCACTATGCTACATTTTATTAAGCAACAATCTGTATGCTTCACTGATGAGCTGATTAAACTGATCGAAGGGTATTATATCGACTTTAATGGAAATCATTCTCCACAGTACTTAAGACTTGCTGGAACAGAAGGATCGAACTGTGTTTGCAAAGTAGCCGGAGCTACTAAGTTGTGACTTTCTCACAAAACTGAGATTGTATTTCTTCTTGTTTAAAGCAGCAAGCTGCAGCTCTAAGATCTTTAAATGAGTTCATTTTAATCTTTGAAACCTGATCAACATCAGAAGACCTTTTTCTGTCCATATCCCTGCTGGGGCTCTTGTCAGGACTCATTAATACAATTTTTTTTTTTTTTTATATTAATGTCATCCTCCTCATTTGCTTGGGTACCTCTGCAACTCCCTCTCCTCTAGGGAGATTACTAGTGCCATATCCTATTTTGTAAATTAAGCTCATCTCTTTCCATTCCCACCCAGTCTCTCTGAATTTGCTTTTGCAGCAGCCTTTATTACTTCATACAAAGCTGCTGGGGAAGTACAAGTTAATCAGCTTGTAAAAGTTCTGGTCTCTGCACCGGCTGCAACTGACAGCATCAAGCAGCACAAGCCTGGGGCAGGACATTTTGCATCCATCTGTTTTTTTTAAAAAAGGGAACTCACCTTTGCACGTGCCTCTAACTCCCTCCAAGAGGAACTGTGGCAAAAAAAGTTTAGAAAAATGTTTTTAGGTTGTCTGAATTCTTCCACATTTTCTCTTTATGAGGAGGCATGCCTTCACACAAGAAATGATAGTCACATAAAAAAAAATTATCTGGAAATTAAAATGAGTGGAATTCCCAGTAACATTAAAGCATTCCAAAGAGGATGTTCAATCAAGGCAACAGTAGGTCAGCTCTACGTTCTCAGAAGTCTTTTCCATCCCTTTCAGAGGCTACTATTGGACTTTTCCTGCCTCAAGTCCATAGTTGATGCAAAGCCACAAGCAGAACGTACAGAAGCAAAGAAACAATTGCCGTGTGGAACGTGCAGTCACCAGAAGGTGGTTGAACATACAGACACATGCTCTCCTGTTCAGTCTTTCCATCTCATGAAGTAAAATGGCATCTCTTAAGAAATACTAGCCACATCAGCTGGAACAATCACTTCCTATATTATCTTATGTCCCACCATGTCTGCATAATTTCCACCTACCGTTAGCCATCACCTCAGCTCACTTTATACTTCCTTATATACCAACACTTTAAATTTGGAATAGGACCTCACTTCCTATGCAGTGACCAGCTTCCTGATACTCCTAATCCGTCAGTTTGGCAAAGCCTTTCCATGACATTAGTCTTATTACTCTTCCGTTCTGTAAAACACTGCGGATGCTCAGATAACGTATTTTTAAGGTGTAGACCTATATTCTTTGTTAGCTCTTAAAAGCTAAGGAAAAAACACTATAAAATTAAGACTGGCACTTAGTTTTTTTGTTTATTGGAAACTTTCATTAGGAACTTCACAAGTATTTTCACAACAACTGTGACAGCAGTCCAAAGTATAACACGGCACATGACCCGCATTATAAAGGTGATAAAAACAAAAGAAAAACCAGGTAAAGTACTGCAACATATATGTGGTTCTTTACATTTGTTGAATGACAAATTATATAAAAAATACAGTAAAACCTTCTGAAAATGAAGTTTAGTATAAATACAAAACCAGTAGAATAAGCAATGAATTAAATTCTCTAAATGTCAATACTCATTTCTTGAGAGCGCTGCCTCTTCCCTTACAGTTTGCATTTTTTTAAAAAAATGAAATATTTAAAAAAAATACTTCTAGCCCGCTGCGCAGAGGAAATGTATTACCACAGTACCAAAAACTGCATTCTGGGAAGACAGTTACAGAAGCACACGTTAGCATGCAGGCCAATTTTCCCCCTCCATCCTAAAACATCCTTAAAAATAGTTTTCTAAAAATATAATTTCAAACAGCACTGACTGACATGTGACTTAGAAAACCTGCCTCAAGTCAGTAAAAGCATATTGCACGTTACCTGTATTGCTGTCCTGAGAACCTTAAAACAAACAATACTGCCTTCAAAGAAATTCACAATAGTGGTTGCATATCAAAACTAAAATTTCACATTTGCAGAAGTCTGTTTCTTATAAATATCCACATTACTATATTAAAAAAAAAAAACACAAAAAACACTACCATACAAAGAATTTTTTGAGCCAGTATCTCTGGTTTCAGTTAAAATAGAAACCTTTGGATATGCAACAGTAAGCATGTGTCCATTGCAAAGAAGCAACATGACCTTTAGCTTACCAGCTATATTTTCAAGAGTGCCAAGATGATATTTTGAAAAAGTCATCATTACCTAGCACTGTAATCGAATAAACTCTAATTTCCACTGTAAAGTTAGCCAGTTCCCTATCTCTCCCCCCATTAGCACAAGTTTCTTTGTCCTGAGCTTGAACTTCTACCACAAGACATTGAGCCCAAAAGATGAAATAATTGAAGACAATGAACCTCTTTTAAGAGTTTTTCCCAAGATGATCTCTTCAAGTAACATTAAATCCCTGATAAAGCTTGTAAACAATTTTACTAACAATAGTCTACAGTCTCAAGAAGCAGCAACATGTTAAAGATCTAAAAGATGATTTAAGACTGGGTTTTCTTTAATAAGTGAAGGCAGAGCCATGATCTGCTCAGCAGCACCACATCTAGATTCCAAGAGGGTTTTAAAGCAAAAATGATTCCGATGGTCTTCTGGCCTGTTTTTCTTTTTTCCTTTGTTTTAAAGTCTTACTCCCGAATTATTGCTCCTGGTCAAAGAAATGGAAAGTGTTCTACACATTAATTTCTTGCAGAGAATATCAGTATTAACATCTAAGCAACAACCATTTTCATTATATTTTTAGTAGAAGCTTCCAGTAGTATAAGTTGCCATTGTTCGAGAGAGATGTCCCTGGGAAAGAGCGAGAACACTATGTGTCTTCCAAGAACATCCTCTAACTGCACGGCTGCTTAGCCAGAAATCCAACAAGCACTTCAGCCTGAGTTAACACTTCAGCACAAGCTTTCAGCAAACTCTGATGAGTCACTAACTGAAGACTAGCAGGAAGTAATTTCCATGGGGTTTCTATGCAGGTGACTTTCAAAGTGACATTAAGCGAGTATGTTATTGCATTTCTATTTGTCTCTCTCATTAAGAGCCGAAAGTACAGTCCTTGGCAGAAAGGTACCCAGTTTCCAGTGATCAAAGGATCCAGATCAACATCCGTTCGGTGATTCTGTGATCCTGTGAATGAGCAAGTAAGGATTCTGTTCCTTCATGGTTTTCATTCAGATAGATTTTTGGCTTACACACAGGATTGTTAGCTTCTATTGATATCACCTTTTTTCCTCACCATCAACACTTAGCTGTCAAAACACCCACCTGCATATGAGTGGTGAGCACTGAAGTAGCTACTGCCACAAGCCACGGAGATGCAGTGTCTGGGCTCTGTTCCTATGGCCACCCGCATAGCGATAGGCATTTGGATGGGCAGAGTCTGAGCAGATGGCTGAAGGCTGGCCTGAAGAGCAGCACAAGAGTGCAGTGAGCTGTTAGCACTCCCAGCAAGCAGGTTGCTGGGCCTCTGTGCCTGTAAGGAGTCACGATAAGCAGAGCACAAATCTTGCACTGGTGACTGAAACTGGGAAAGACTAGATGAATGTTGGGCTAGAGGGTGATAGGTGGATTGCTGAAATAGGACTTGAGTAGTGGTTTGATGGCTCTGATTTCCCATTACTTGCTGTTGCATTGTTACTTGTTTTTTTATGTTACTGGCTTCTTTGACATCATTTTCGTAACATCTGAAATAAATTATAACCAAGATTTATCAAAGAGAGAAGATTTTACGGCTTGCATATATCCCAAAGTTTTCACCAGTGAGGCTACGCCATCAGCTTTTTGGCCTTAGCTATATATGACAAATCTTGATTACTTTCACCTATGGGCACCCTTATTCCAGATCTCCAAGAACAAACTGTATGAATCTCTACTGAGGAGGTTGTCACTGGACTATGGATGAGGCCCTCGATAGATAAACACCATCAGCAATAAACCCGCGTTACTTTGCTATCACAATTCATTTCTAACTATCCTGGTGGGATCTTCAGACATTAACAACAGGTTTACAGATCATTTTGCATCACAAATATATTTTAAGAATGGAAAGGATCTTGGAACCTTAAGTCCACAATATAAAACAAAATCTTAAAATACACTGCATAGGTACCGGCAGAGAATTAAGGTGCATAGCTATGAAAGAACAAGGGGAATTTTAGTTATATATTAGGAAAAAGCATTTTCACCATGAAGATGATCAAACACTGGAATAGATGGCCCAGAGAGGTTGGGAAATCTCCATCCTTGGATATAGTCAACACTTGGCTAGAAAAGGTCCTGAGCACTCTGATATAACTTCAGAGTTGGCCCTGCTTTGAGCAAAAAATTCTAGAAGTCACCTCCAGGGTTCAACATCCTCCTAACCTAAATCAGTCTTTTTTTAAATGATTACTATTTTCTGCTAGGACTTGTACGTACTCATATAATAGGCCAGTACTGATGTACTGCAGGCATGTCTTTGCTGCAGAAAAGCGGTCAAGAATAGTGCTGGAACGTCTCTCCCTGCTGCATTCCTGATGTTACAGATATACTGGTGTCTCTCTGCAGCAAGTTATTGTGCATGTACAATGAGAATACAAAGGCAAGAAAGCTTGCAACAACCGTCTGTAAAAGCTTCCATCCAATCACATAAGTAACTGGTACAAGCAGATGTAACAAATACTGAACTGCGCTCTCCTTCCCCCATTGAAAATATTATTAAAAAATACAGAATTTAGTAAAATCAACTGCTCTTCTCCTTTTATTCCTCTCCCTAAACTGAAGATGGAGATGTACCAATATATTAATTATAGCTAAATAAACACCATACAGATATATATATTTTTTAAACTATTAACATCTTACTAGGAGCACAACAGGTTACTCTAATTCTGATCTTACATGAGCATCATTTCAGTGCATTGGGAAAGATGCTCCCAGGAGTAAGATGTTAGCAATTCAAGCTGTGTTGTCCAGGCAGGAAAAATCTGCATACAGATACGTGAGGCGCACACACAAGCTGCAGCAATCAAAGATGGACGAAAATTGAGGAAAGTGTGATCTACAAAAAAACAAACAAACACACACGAAACACACACACAACAAAACACAAGACTCTTACTAGTCACTGCAGTGATCCTATTATGTATATAAATGGCAAAACAGGACAGGGTTAAACCCTCGACTTTGTTCCACACATCTCAGAGCAGTAACTCATTCCCAGAAAGTCTCTCAAAGTTGGATGAAGCTTTCCTGAAGAGGTCTGTACTACTATAAAGGTTTCATTACAGTTTAATTTCAGAAAAAAGCCATAAAATATACTATGCTGAAAATTATCGTTTGGCCTCAGCTGAACTCAAGTCAGGTATGGACATTCACATTAATGTTGAAACTGGCTTATGAGGATGCTGCAGTTCATTGCTTCTCACATGGGCAGATATTGGAAGCTGTGCTGCAAACCAAATCCTTGAAAGCCCCATCATTAATGATTTCATGTCATACAGAACAGGACACAACCCTCCAAAATCAAGAATCCATTCACGGAACTGCACGACGGATCGTGCCGGTAACTGACTGACAGCAGTTCAGAGTCAGTGGCAGATCAGAAGTCAGTTCCTCTTTCTGACAGTCTCTCCAATTAGAGTTCTAGGCGAGAGAAAAAACAAACAAACAATGCACCTCACCTAGAGATTTCTAAAGGGTGACAAGAGGTTTATCCTCAAAAAGAGGACAACGTGCCGCTTGCCATCTGTAACAACTCCAAAGTGAGATACTGTTCTGCACAGATGATTTTGTGCAATCCATATTATGACAAATTTTTAAGTCCTTCTTTCCCTTCAGATTTTTGCCTTTTGGCAAACGGAAGATCAGTCTAGCATAAAATTAAGCCTTTTACCTTGCACTGAGAAATCAAGGAAGTAATATGCATATTTCTCCATGAAAGGTTTGACTTTGGTCAATGAGGTGATCGGCCAGCCATTGTGAAGGTCATTCTCGCCAACAGAAGCAAAGAGGTAGTAGTCAATGTAGTGTGCTGGCGTGGGCAGGCAGAGGTTCCAGTTGAAGCTTTCCAAAAGCAGCAGTTCCATTCTCAGCAAGTCTTTCTTGTTCAACACCGTGTTCACACTGCACATATACGTCAGGTTATTTAAGTACTCCAGCTTTGGAACTCGATCTTCTTTTTCTTCAAATTTGCCTGCCAGAAAAGATCTTTTTCAGATAAGGTTTAGGGTTATGATCAAGAGTCCAAAAGCCAACAAAGAATACCTCCAAAATGAGAAAGTCTAGTCATGAAAGATGCTTTTTAAAGATGAGCAAGAGGGACAGGAAAGTACAGTGACATAACTAAGAAAAAAAGTCACCAGACTGGTTGGTATCTTCCCATATCCTTTTATGATTTTCAATTGCTTATATAGCATTGATGCCACAGCCAAGATTAACACAAACTTACTAGGATAGTTGAGCAGTAGGGCTGAAATGTAAGTTTCAATAAGACCCATAACTTCATAGATGTACATCAATATACGTTAGTACTCTCAACACAGGTATATTTTTGAAATGGAGTGGACCAAACAATTTATTGCAAGTTTAAGTGTCCATCTGCTTTTTACACAATAGCATTTTCTTTCTTCTTCATAAAGCTGCATCTCCACTTTGCAGACATCCTGAATTAGATCTATTGCATCGACTTGACACTGATGTAGCTATGGAACGTTTGTTAAGAACTCTACAGAAACAGATAATAGAATTCATTAGCATTTCTATTCATAGCAGAAAGTTTGGCACCTGAATCTGAGGGATGCTAATACATTCCTGTAAGAAAAGTATTTTAATATGAAAAGGAAGCAACTATTCCCTTTTCAAGATATAGTTTTACATTATATGGGGTTGTAGAAGTAAACAAAAATCTAGCATAAGCTTGTGCTGGAAGACAGAGTTGTCTACTAGGTTACAAATTGTCTGATATTTAAATTTTCAGAGTGAAACTTCATCATAGCATACCCTGCAAAGCCCTTTCATTGCAAATGGTCTTAAATAAGATATCCAAGTCTGAACTAAACATTGATTATTTAAACACAAGACCATCTTAAAATATACTGTGCTTAAGTTGAGCACTACTGATTTATATATTGTCATTTTTATTGTATCTTTATGTACATAAAGAGGTCATAAAAAACTTAAGTTATGATGCACAAGTCACACTCTTCTCCCAAGACCTTTTTGAATATATTACATGCCTAAACAATGAGCAACGTCTTTGTTAAAAAAATCTTTTTCATGGAGAAAAAAAAAAAGAGAAGCATAACTACGGAACAGATGCGTTATATGAAGGAGAAATTCATTTTAAGAATATGAAACTTAAGAAATATTCAATGAATGATGGATTGCATATCATTTTAACCAATTTTTCAGTAATATACTGAAACTGTATTTTCCAGCAGCATTTTGAACAGTTTTCTGACATGTCCTGTTCACAGGAATCTCAGCCCCTTCTGGAGCGCTGGTCAGCAGAAGAGCAGCGGTAGGAACGCTTCCACTGCTACAAGTTAGGTCAAACAAACTCTAAACTTGACAACAACTCCTTAAAGTCTCTATCATTCTTGATCAACAGGCTCCCAGGCCAGTCAGAGTTGACTTTCCTCCCTATATTTCTATTAAAGGGGTGAATGAGACTGCTGGCACCAGTTTCACTAGCTTGACAATTGAATACTTGGCATATTTCAGATCGAGTTCAAAACACGGGCTTTAGGTAGGAAAAAATAGCCATGTTCCAGGCGAGAGGTTTGCATGTAGCAATCTTGACTAGCAATCCTGACTATATTTAGTTTTCATGAACATCCACTGTAAGAGGGAGATGCTTTAGAAAGTAGAAGGCATTTTAGTGCAGAAATCTCAAAGACTAAGATGCAAGTTACTGATTTTCTTTATTCTTGACAGGCAAATTAAAGATATTCATCTTTTCTAGGCAGACTGTCATGTCATTTCAGGCCATTTGCAAAAGACAGCACTTGCCTGAGGTAACTTAACTTCATTTAAGGAGAAACTGTTAAAGCAGCACATCAGGTTAGTCAGGAGACCCAGAACCACAGAGGGCACGCATCAACAGAAGCGAGCCATTAGGTCAGCTCAACAATCCTGTGAAATTTCACTTTTCTTCTGCTAAAACTGCTGCTGTGATTCTGCCTTTTCCTTGCATTGGCTCTGGGACACAGCTGACCTCCCCTCCAAACGTCACTTCAGCTCACTAAACCCGCAGGAAACTGTTTCTCCTGTAGTTTTTCTGCAGAATTAGTAATCTGCTGTTTGAACCAGCTCACAAAAGTAAGGCCATCTTTTTTCAGCACAGCAGAGCTACTATCACTTCGGCTACCCTGTCTGCTACTACTTCATCCTGGGGTGCAACCCATCTTCTTTACAACAAGTGCAAACGTCTTCCCACAACACCTTGTCTGCACGCACCCGCACTGTTCACCATCCTTTCACAGAAGCTCAAGGAAGAGCTCACTACTTTGCTGCCTAGAGATAAGGAGGTAAAAATCCTTTTAAAAAAAGGACTAATGCTTACACAGAAGTGGCTTATTTTCTCTCTTTTTGTCTGTCCTCAGCTGGTAAAACCAGCACATACAGGCAGCAGCTCACTGTAGAAGTAGACTAGCAGCTTTAGACCAGTGCAGAAGTAGGGTACATACCCACGTTATTACAGGGCTGTGAATCGTGAGTGAAAATAGGGCAAGAGGTTCCATCCTCTACAGCTGTCTATCTTGTTTCTGCTACAGAAACTTTGCAGCTACTTACACAACAGTTGGCAAACCAGTACAACTATACCCAAAACGAGTGAAAAAAAATAAAATAAATAAAAAATAAAATCAAACCCAATACTTGTCTCCCTACATTAGGCTTACGAACTGCAACGGCTTTTTTTTTTTTTTTTTTTTAAATCCTGCTTGATACTGAGACTTTGAAGACAAGTGAGGCAGCTTCCACCAGACAGTAGATGCCACTGCAGCCATCCCAAATTGAGCCATACGTGTTCACTGATAAAAGTTCTCAGAGATATCCTAAAAACATTCTAATTGAGAGTCTTTATCTTCAAAAAATAAAGTAGTTCCCATAGCTGGAGAAGTTAAGAACTTACTTAATAGCAAATGTAGTTTAATACACTAAAATGCAATATTTTAAACTAAACACTCAGGGGATTTTTTTTTTTTAGTTTTTGGAAACGGAATGCCAAATACTAACTTGCCAAAATACTAAGTAATATGATGACTTAGAGAAAACATTTATGTCAGATTGCAAACTTCCTCTTGGACACAGGATCAGCTTGTCTTCTCTCAATCCCTTTGTAGTCTTAATGCACGGCAGGAGAAGCCATTTCTGTCATTTCACAAGCATACGAATGAATGCAAGTTAATAGATGACTACTTAGAGGTAGAACCAAACTCTGCTGTATTACAAGCAACTAGCATAACCTCAGATACGTCTGAAACAGAACTGTAATGCCCACTTTGAATACTAAGCTAGAGAAAGCTCTTAGTTTTATTTTATACCTATGTCTTACAATAGACATACTCCAAGAGGCCTTCATACCAAGGCAGCCTGGAAGCCACAGTCCCCTCATGCATTCCTCCATCAAAATTGCTGGGGGATAATAGAGGACAGAAAAGTTGCTGTCCCTTCTCTTCTTAAGAAGCCTATAAAGTGAGGTTTTAAAACTAAAATAAAATCCCAGTAATCCCAAATCAGAGTTCTTTCTTTACAATATCAGTTCTCCTACACCGTCTCCCCTCCTCAAGTCATTTTAAAGGCCAGTTTTCTGATAGAAACCAAAAGAGATTTGCTGAAAGGCATTCAGTCAAGCGTGGAGAAAGAACGCAGTTTGGGGAAAACACGGCAGCAAAGGAAGATCTAATATTGAGACAGAAAGCTCCTTTGGGTATGTCGTTTGGAAGCTAACTGCACGTGCTACAAAAAGGAAGACATTAAAAACCCTCAGGCAACACCACCTTTGCCCTTGCTGCTTCAGAATTACTCTTTGTTCCTTCCTGTCTTGGAGGGCCTCATTAGCTCAGGTCACTGAGAGGCTGGGAGAAGTACACTGTAACCAAGTGATCACCATAAATAATTCCTATGGGATAAGAGGAGAATATCTATTTTCAGGATCAAGGCAGCTGAGCAGGGCCCCCCTCCTTCCTAAGGCTGCATTTACCAGCCTATGGAACGGCGACAGTCTCTCAAATAACTCCATTTTTCAAAGTAGTTAAAGCGTTGTCAGAAGAAAAAAAAAAAAGAAAAGAAAAGAAAAGAAAAAAAAAAAAGGAAAGCAGCAATATCAGATTTGATTCCCAGGGTTAGATCTATCAGTAAGAAAGCAATAGCGTTACTTTGCTGCAAACCTAAGAAAGCACGTAAGTATTCTTAAATTCACAGTATTATCAAACCATAGATGACCTATCTACTAGCCTTGCCTTCTTCAAGAGCTAGTTACAAGCATTCAGTAATAATAATGCATACATACTTCTAGTACTGCTTAGATAACTTCCTTGCTACAAAATCCAAAACCATTATTTTGGAGTATGGCTATTTAAAGGCACACTGCAGTTATTGTTCCTCTTTGTTCTTGAAAACATATAATGCCACAACTAATTTGTCCTTCAGTGGTCCTTCCAACCCTTCTGCAAGAGTCCTCCTTTACCAAGACAGAGTTATTGACTAGATATTAGTGTCATGTGACTTCAGAGTTTTGTTGTCAAATCTGAAAAGAATCAAAACCAGTATAATACCAGAAAATTATTTTAAAAGGAAGTAATTTCTTGCTATCCATTTAAGGTAGCAATTCCATCTAACAAAGTCTCCAGTGAATTAAAAACCCAACAGAATTTTCTGTACTATTATCAGCTTAAAATTTTCTCAACACTTTTAAAGATGAAGTTTCTTTGATCTAGTTCAGCTCTCACAGATATGGAATGCATTAAAAGTGCATAGACATATGCATAGACACATAGGTCACCACACCACAAAATAGCCTAACAATAACCATAAAAAGCAAAATCCAGGCATCACACGAAGTAAAACAGAAAAGGAGTACAGGGATGCTGCCAATGAAAACCCTTAGAATTCAGGAGTTCACACACAGCTTCACGAATCTCCTTGTCACCTATATTTAAGGGGGAAAAAAAAGTTTGACAGAAAAATTAA